CAGTATTTAACGCTTTCACTTGGGGCTTATCTTGAACCACCGCGACGTGAAGGGGCAGGGAACGAGTCATCTTGTTCACTGGCGCGGCTTTCCGATATCGCATAACATCTGGGAGCCTCGCGCCCATCTACTGATTGCAGTATAGGGTCTCGTCCACCAGTACGACAAGACAAATTTGATGTCTCGGAAGGGACATCGAAAAACACGCACCCATGGCGCCGGTATAGCAATTGCAGGTTGATATTAGCATCGCGCGTCTCAGAAGATATGTGTGCACAATGCCAGGGCAAAGAAAAAAGGGACACATTAGATTGGATGCGTTGACTGTTTTTGGAGCAATACAAACATAGTTCGCTCCACGTGAGGTTTGGAATTCCTGCCTCACGAGAAAAATAGTGCAACCTGGTTTTTGCATCAGTCAAAGTTCTTTTTCGAACCCGACAAGACGTCAAGATATCGAAGCCAAGCATCGTGCCTAATGTGCTGCACATGGAGTATAAACGCATTCCACGGATGCAGCAAGAGATCTTGCCTTTCTTAGGGTTCCACAATATCAGCGATTATGAACAAATCATCCAGATTAAAGTTTTTTTAGCGTGAAAGTTACAAGCGCTGATGTTAAAGCCGTACAACAAACTTGCATCAAATAGTAAGAATCGATTATGAAGACTCGTCTCGCCTGACGTGTAATTCTTTAGCCTTTCTGCTAGAGCCCAAGGATTGTTTTCAGGGGATAGACGTAGCACATTGCGATTTAGAGCCTCCCGCGTGGTTTCAATGGAAGTCCTGTTACCACTGGAGTCGTCATCATGACGGTGTAAATAATCACCACATTCACCAGGAAGCGAATGCGCAGTGGACAAGTCAGAATACTCATGCTCCAAATCAAACTGACCTTGGCAGTGACCATGAGTTGGACTACCCGCTCAATCCCTATTCGTAGGCTCATATTCTCGGCCGCCCTTATGAACTCGAGCTACCTGTGTGCCTTTTTTAAATCAGACCTGCCGTCAGACTCCCCGGAATAGATGAGCTACACTTGGGAGCAATCATCATTTGCACATGGTGATTCAACACGCGCATCGGCAGCAGCTAGTGCTACAGGAAGAGTGGAAGAGGAAGAAGACGAAGATTTTTCTGCCACAAAAGGCTGCGCATTTTCAGGAGCATCTGCGTTGACGCACAGCTGCCTATTCAATGGCTTTCGCCGCGCATCGCATTAAGTTGTTTACTGTGAGATTAAGATCCAGAAATGAATGGAAAGACCAAAACAATTGCTATTTTCCCCTGATGTGATCAACATGGTAGTGATTAAAAGACTATCTTTTAATGGGGGGGGGTGATATAACGGCGTAAGCTTGATAAATTTAATTAGCTCTTGATACTTGTAGCTTATAATTTATCATACAGATTGATAGCATTTGTGAATATTACCATTACGGACAATATTCAGAAACACTCACCATTGGCTGAAACGGGATACTTTATCAGCCAGCTCTAGCGGTCAAAAAAACGATGGACGTGCGAGATGAGTGTTGAGCAAGACTTATGCATACCTTTCTGTAAACAAACGTAGCTGATTACGATTAAAACATAGGTGATGATTAAAATTTATTTACATTCTGTACGATTTTACTTTACCAGCAACATTTCAGTTCCTTGCTGCTTCCCTTCCTCAGCCGAGTTACCAAAGGTGGCAAGGCACCACTCATACTGCTGTTGGTGAAAGTAGCTCCACAATGGCTGTTCAGTTCTTGCTCCGTTTCCCCGTTACAAATCTTACATCTCACACTATCAACTTCGTGGAAAGTGATAACATCACTCTTCTTGTTAATGGCATTCACGATGCAGCACCTCTCGAGGCCATAAAATCTTAACGAAGGCGGCCATGAAGAAATTCAGTTTGCATCAAGATTTTTTTAAGATGTGGGCACTTAAGCAGCTTACAGTGACTCCTCACACAGGAGCTCATTGGAATGTCGAGCGGCTGCTGCCGGTGATTAAGAAGTGAATCGGTCGTCTTCTGGCGTATAGTTTGCCGTGAGATAGGCCTTGCTCGATATCGGCGTGTCGAGAGGTTGAGTTAATGAAGTGCTCATGTTTTACCTACACATAAAAGGGGTTGCCATATCGCTACCTAATCGTTGTTCTATATATTACTGGGTTCACTAAAGACGTGACGTCCGCTTTTCGCTCGTCGTGCCTTGCGGACACCTGTAAACAGGACTATATGGAAAGGGCTGTTGAAGTGGTTGTGTGCACGAGATACCTTTCAGTATTTATTAGTCCACCACTGTACTACAAGCAGGCTGGGAGATGGCGGAAAACCGTATTGCGGGCTTAGGGGATACGAGATTAGGATCTACCTACAAAGCCGAGCGTGCAAGGAAGTGGGGCACAACAGGATAACATGTCGTCGCTACGCAAACCAAAATATGAAACCAAATGAGGCGTTTTCAGCGCAGCTAAATGACGTGGAAGTTGCGTTTGATACTTTGGTAGCAAGGCCACTTGTCACGTCTCACTTTGCGATGTCCGGAACCTCCGTACGAGGCCTACAATGAGACTCCATTCCCCTTTATACTTATTTGAAGCATATATAGTTTCCAAACTAGGTACTTTAAAACATTTTATAAATAGGATGTTGCATTACTCGAAGCCTTTATCTCATAAATATTATGGTGGGAACGAGTTTCTGCATCATGTAGGCTGAAAGCTTCTAACTTACTCATTATTAATTCAGGCTCATGCTCTTGAGGTTGTTTGGTACATTTATGAAGATTGCATTTTTTTCGACGTATGAAATGGCTTCATTCTGTGTTAGTACGATACCGCAGACTTGTATGCGACTTTGGAGATTAAGCGTGACGCCAATTGATTACAATAAGCGAAACAATTGTTAAAATTTATGTGTACTTTACAAGCGAATTACGACATCTTGGCTGAAGCTAACATTATATTAATCTAGTCCTTGTTATTGGCGCTATCGGTTGGTGACTAGTGACTGATTTTGTCGAGCGCAAAGAATTCGCGTGACTAAACAGCTTTAAGTACAACGCTTCGCAGCGGTTAGTCGTTCTGTGCAGTAAGTGCACCACACCCTCCAACACTACAGAAGGGAGCAGTAGACCATGACCTTGAGTCCGCTGTCCCTTTTTCAGTTCATGCAAGAACCTACATAACACACAATGCACACGGCAATACATGCAGCATAAAATTTCCAGCGTGCAACCGATTATTATGTCACGTGCAGCTGCTCTTCTACGATTGCTTTTATCTATTCTCAGCATCACATGCTCATCACTCTAGGTATTTATCCCATTATTTTTGCTGGAGAGTAAAAGTCTTGTTCAGTGGTTCGTTCCTTTCCAAAGCTCACAAAATCCACGAAAGCATACGTACAATTCATTAACATCACTTTTGTCCGTCCCGCTACTTAGTCTAAAAAAAGGCATTGCGTACTCACTATTCGTGCTATCCTGGTAGAATTCCTACAATGACAACAAACGCAAAACACCATACACACAATGTGTAAGCCTAGCTTTAGACGATTAACATACATCCTCGTAATATACATATATAACTACCTGAAGTGACTTGTTGACGTTGATGCCGTGACCACATCCCGCGCAACCTGCACACCAAAGACGAATTCGAATCCACGCGCGTCTGCGTCCTTGCCTACATATTTCATCAAGTACAGAGCAATAAATTACGTCTGCTAATTTGTGATATATCACAGCCACAAGATCGTATTGTTTTTGACAAATGTTGCCTATCCGTCATCATAAATTAAGTTCCACTTTATTCCGCAAGCCAGTCGAGTGTGTTGTTCCAGCATGAATACATCAAGAGAACTATCCGATCGTATGGGACCTAAACAGCATAAAAATAGTTTCAGCATGAGCAAGTCTCCGGATTTAGCGTCTCCATGGCCTTAACACAATCGCGGGATCGTACATCGGGCCAAAGCCTTACCTACTCTTCTTAAGAGAGACCCTACATCGCAAGTCGTACAGCACACAGGTAGACTCCGCGTCAGTTCTTCGCCAAATCATGCGCAAAGCTCATTTAACATACCACACATGTTCCTGTCGTTACGCATGTCTCGCTCACGCATCGTGTAACGGGCTACCCCGTTACATGATATTGACACCAAACGGTGTCAATAAGGAGATTGTCCAGCGTGACAGTTCCCTGCCCATATTACCCGAGATACGTAATATTGAAGGAATACTATCATCGTAGGAATACATTCATGCTCTGCTCAAAGATTGGTTGATAAAGACATATCAACAAAGATTACCACCGATCGCTGCTAGACACGCGTAATGAGTGGTGAGCAGGTTGTCGTCATACGACAATGTAGGTGAATAAAGTTAGATAAAGGCTGAAGTTATATTGATAGCTTGACTATATCAATTACAGTTCTCTTTTACCCTTTACTCAAACTAGCAGGTTGAGTAGATTAGCTTCCTCTGCACGTACTAGTGTACGTGAAGTTTTGTGGCACCCCAAACAAAGGGTGCTTCGTTACACATCGCACGTCGCGTCGAATCGCAAAGCGCATTCGCTTACTATCTAGCAATTCTTCATTAACGCGGTAGTCACAGGTTTACTTTTTAAAAGATTTTTTTAGGTGATCTACACTAAATTGATTATTGGCTGGTGCTGGTTTTGGGACTGGTGCTGATAATGAGACTTTTGACCTAGGATGGTGCTGATAGTGAGGTTTACCCCTGTTAAAACCCTGAAGAACTAGATGAGCCCGTTTAAGGCCTTTCCTTTATCACCGTTTTTGAGATTTTCAGCACTGTTTCTATCATATCGAAGCCATGCCCGAACATTTGTATGACAACCTCACTATCTGACTATCTATTTTGGTTAGGTTTCGCCCACACAAAGCCTATCCAGCTCATCAAAATTATCAAAGAGGTATTTCTATTTTTATGAGTCGATGCTGCTCTAATCAAGTTCCTTACCTACTTGGTGGAGGACTTTTATCCTTGACCTTCACAACCGGAGCCTCCAGCCATTCGAAAGCAAGCTGTACGCTCAAAAAATGACATAATGTTCGCAGCGCCCACATAAGTTAGTCCACCAAACAGCGCAATAGCCACAAGCCATCCCCCCGAAAAGCTATAGCCGCCATAGTAGCGCATTTGCTGCACCTCGAGCTTCTGGCGCGGAAGTAACCGGATGAACGCGAGAATCGTGAGCTGGAAAGTCCACGCGATAATGTACGTATAAAAGACCTGTAGCCGTGTAGAGCGCGAGTCACGACGTAGGTCCTCAGCCGAGATTGCGAAATGCGAGCCAATCATTTTGTAAACTGCTGTACCGAACGGGATGGCCAAGTTCCGGAATGTGATCACGAGGCCGTGAGTTGTGCCCTCGATCCCGCGCGGTGCAAGTTCGACGATGGGGAATACCATAACCAGAAATCGGATTGCCGTTACCGGTGCTGCGAGCACGCGCATGTTCAGCCAGAAAGTATGATTTCGCACGATATCAAATACCGAGCAGACCACGGTGATGACATCGATGAGCACATACCAGAGTGTCGAGATACAGTAAAGGTGCTGCCAATCACTACGCAGCAGAAATTGTTGAGTGACAAATAAACCACCAACAAAGGCCAAACTCCACACCGCTCTTGCTACGGTGTTTGGCCAGCTATGCACGTCAATCCAATTCACTTCAATCACTTGTGCTGCACTTGAATCGATCGTGACACAGAAGCCCGAAACCAACTCAAACATCAAGAGACGCCACATCGCGCGACTTTGGACCAGTTTCCAAACGAGCTGAAAACGGTCGTGAACACCCAGTGGTGGATCGAGAGGGGATGTATTTGGCTGACTCCGTTGTGGCGCTGTTGAGCATGATACGACATTTGCAAAGGCAAGAACCGGCACCGTCTGAACTTTCGGGTCTTCGTGACACAACCAGATCGAGCTTATAAGCGATATCATTGCGCACGCTGCAAGAACAAACATGACCTGATTTACACTTAATGACCACGATCGGCTTCCTTCATAAACCGACTGATCGAGTGACCCGGTCACAAATAGGCTCATGATAGTCACACCAGTCATCCTCGCTGCGAACATGTTCACTTGCGTACGTCCTCGTGTTGACAATGGTTCTCGCTGTGCGATCTCCACCACCATGGCGTCTGCTGCCGTATTCGCCAAACACATACCAAACGTCCCCAAAGACGTGAACAGCATGTACTTCCATGCCACTTGTTCATTCCCAGCTGCAGGTGTTTCGAACGCCCCGAGAAACAACATACACCCGATACACAATAGCCATCCGATAATCATGTACGGTTTTCTCCTGTAGCCACCTATCCGCAAACTATCCGTCAAGAAGCCGCCAAGAGCTTTGCAATTCCACGCCGTGTTGACCACCATTGACGCGGCTTGAATCTGGTACTGCTCCAGCTTGAGGTACTTGCTCAAGTAAGGCATAATCGCAGTGTAGATACCTCCATACAAGGCGCCGACGCAAAAATAATTCAGCAAGAGACCAACTGTACGTCGTGACAATAGCTTCACGGGTCCGCCAGATCTCAGAGCTCCGTCCTGCTCGAGTCCGTAAAAACGGTACTCCTGTTGCTCCTCCACCACGCACAGATCCAGTGGCAAAGTGCGGCGCAGCACCAATGGGTCACCGCGAAGTTCCGGCGGCATCGAGTCCATACTTAGAGACAGCGAGTCACAGGAGAGTGGCATGGATAGCAACGAGCTGCTCTTGAGCCAAATGCCCGAGGATTTGGCATCACTTGTTAACGAGGTCATGGCGAGCAGTGGCAGACAAACAGACAGACGGACGACCCCAAACAGATATACCGGAATCCTGAGGGACTAGCACAGAGCCACTCACGTGGTAGTCGACAAATCCGTGTGGGGAAGGCAGTAAAGGCTGTGATGCAAAGTGACGAGTTGCCCATTTATTTCCTCGGTGCGGGGTCTCTCGACTAGGCGATGAATGGACAAGCGGGATGGTCTGCAGCAGCGTCGTCGTTGCTTCCAGCGTGATGGGGGAAATGGACATGTCAAATACTGCACCATCTGTGCGTGCGTAGCGTTTATCGCATACAAAAGTCAATATAATTTAGCAAAAGCAGGTCAAGACTGTCGTCTTACCAGCGTATCGATGCTACTTGTTCGTATCTCTCGAATTGATCCCTCGTCAATAGTGCGTGAGAGAGTCCGTCTTGAGAGCGAAAGCCAGTGAATTGATCGCACCGCCGTATCGGGAGCAAAGCCGGGCCAGCCGACACAATACGGATGTCGGGTGTCTCAGAAAGTCGTCAGTGACGCACGCCTTTCTGCCTCATTTCGTTTTCGTTTTAACGCGGTCGTGTGAGACCACTTACTCTATTTTCGCGGAATAGAAATAGAAACGCCACATACCGTTACAGTCGCAGCGATACGGTAGCACGATCTATCAGTCGCTATCCGCGCCGCATCTCCTCTCATCCTACCTTATCACGTTAACCGCCAACGTTCATGCGCCCACGTCGTTGCGGCAAAACGTCGCGGTGGTTCGTCTGGGACCCAGCGGGCATCGTCATCGCTGGGTTTGCGTGGGTCCTTGTCTTTGGGCTATTGCTGGCAGTGCTCGTGTCGATTTCTCAGTGGGTGGGGCTACTGTCGCTCATAGGCGTGACCGAGAGTATCTGGTTTACGGGCCTCTTCGCCATGTGCCTCTGGAGCCACGTTGTGGTACTTATTAGTGATCCAGGCACAGTCCCGTTTAAGCTTGAGGGGACGAGCATCTATGGAGACAATGGAGCTAAAGACGATGATGACGACGTGGAGGAAGTGGTGGAGGAGATGCTGCTCAGCGAGTTTGAGGAGTGGGAAGACGATGGCTCGCTGCTTGTCTACTGCGACGAGTGTGCGATCTACCGCCCGTCCAGGTGCGTCGTTATCAGCTGTTACTGTAAACTGCTTCACTCGGAGTTGAACCTGACGCGTCGCCCTTCTTGTGGATTGGAGTCTGCAGAGCTGTACATTGTCATGTCTGTCAGCGCTGTATTGTGATGCAAGATCACCACTGGTAGGGACAGAGTGGATGCCGTTATTTCGATGAGTGCGAGTGCTTGACTGATTGGTGTCGTTTGACCGATTGGTGTCGTTTTTTGTGTGTTCTTCGGAGTAGTCCGTGGGTGAACAACTGTGTGGGAATTGGCAATCAGAAAGCTTTTCTGTTACTATTGCTGTACGTAACGACCACGAGTGTACAGGCGATAGTGCTGGTGTTCACGCAGTATGCCACGTGCTCACGGGGCAAGTACTTATGTGGACTGCAGAACGACCAGTTTCCAGGCAAGCTTGGTGGATGGATTCTCGCCATATCGACCGTGTTCGGTCTATTCTGTTCGCTTATGCTGGCAATGGAGCTGTACAATATTTATCAAGATCCGCTTTTTACGCTGATTGCTGACCAACTTACTGCTCGTCGCGGTGGTCACAAATCATCGTCGACGCTAGAGCGCCATCTGAGTGTCATTTGTGGGACAGATGGCATGCGGGCGTCGTGGTTCTTTCCGTCACCGGAACGCCGCTCACTAGAAGACAAGGAGATCGTACAGGGCTTCCGGGGTCACCCGGAAGATGGTAAGATTTGCTGACGGAGCAAGTCCGTCGGTAGCATGGTGTGTGTCTGGTCCGTTGTAAGCGACAATAGAGGGTCGCAGCGCGCGTAGCTGCCGCTTCGAACGTCAGAGTAAGTCACCCTACGCTCAAGCTCGTCATTGTTCTAGTTTTTCTAGCTGACGTCGGGGTTCTAGACCTCAAATGCAGTACCCAAGGCAAACCCGTCTTGTCGACGTCGGTGGCGGATTCAGAACCTAGTGGCGACCTCGTTTTTACTTGAAGGTGGCGGGTTTTTGCCAGCTCTCCAGTGCAAGTGTGAGACTGAGGTCCAGCGATGCTAAGCCGCTCGTCCGAAGCTGTACAACAACAATGTCCAGTGCCATAATCGCTTCACATGAAGTTCAAAGTCTCGGTTCGTAGTGTCCATAATCGCTTGGGTCGTGTAAGTAATCACGCCCTCGCTTCAAGCGATTATGGCCACAGCCAATAGGGTGGCCTTCCATACCGTCGCCCTGGTCACTTCCCGTCTGATGACTGCAGTCCACAAAGCACGGAACGTTTTTCGACCAACCACGTTCCCCCGTCCGTCCGCATCCTTCACCATCGCCCAAAGTCCTTCAAGTCGGCACGGTCTCATCCCTGTTGTTCACGCACCAAAACCCTTCGTAATCGATGGCCTTTCCCCACAACCCCGTGCGACCTGATTACGTCAAGTCCGTCGTAGCGTTACTTTTTCTCCACCTCTGACGCTCCTTCGCTCACTTCTCCATTGCGTCCACTAAACGCACGCGAAGGAGTAGACGCGACCAGCCGCCACTAACCCTTAAACTCTATCGATGACCGTGCTCCCGGCCCGCGCCAGGGATGACGAGCCGGGCCCACTGAAGACCGAGAACCAGCTCGTCCAAGCGGTGGAGCTGCAGCCCGTGCACGACAGTGAAGTGCCTGTGAAAGCCAAGCGACTATCAAGCGTCACGGTTGCCAGCAGTGAAGGCGAGGAAACTCGTCACCGCGAGGCACGGGGGTCCGTCCTTCAGTACGTCTCTAGCCACCCAGAGCTGTTGGCTTCGTCCAAGAACCACTTTCGACGAGCGGTGACTGTGGCAGTCCCAACTCAAGGGCTTCAGTTGAAGCATGACACGGTCGATCGAGAGGAAGATCGGAGTAGTGAGAGCAGCGACAAGATGGATAGTCTGCGGCACATGCGCTCCAAGAGCTGGACGGGGGACCCTCGTCGCGATGCGGCGCTGGAAGCTATTGAGCACCGTCAGGTGCGGTTTCGCTTCTCGACTGCGGCGTCGGCACGCGAGGTCGTGCGTGAAATGCACTCGCACCGACTGCGGGAGTTTCCAGTGGAGTGTGTTGTATCGGCAGATATGGAGATGCAGGTGGGCTCGGTCTGGCGCAAGATGCAGGTGGACGTGGACCACGATGGTGTCAACTGCCAACGGGTGTCGCTGTTCCGGAAGAAAACAAAGGCGTTCCAGATTGCAAAAGATGATTTGCTTGCAGCGACGCTTGCGTCGGAGAACAAGAATTGGGTGAAGGTGCACTATATGCTGCCCGGGAAAGGCAAGGACTATCGCCGACTCTTGCGTCGGTACCGGGTTGTGACAATGCGCTTTGAGGATGCTACGACAGCTGCGAAGTTGGTGGCTTCTGTGCAATTGTTTGTACAGTGGATGGCTCGCGTGCCGGAACAAGCGACGCGTCGTGTGAAAGTGGTGGTGAACCCGCACTCGGGCAAGCGGCGTGGACGCAAGATCTGGGAGTATTGGAAACCTCTGCTGGAACTCGCGGACATCCAGTGTGACGTGGAGGAGACGGAGTACAGTGGACATGCGCGCGATATTGGTGCAGCGTTTGATTTGGACATGAAGTACGAGGCGATTGTGTTTGTTGGCGGTGACGGTACAGTGAACGAGTTTATGAACGGTGTGTTTACGCGAGAGGAGAGTGTGTGGCGCGCTCTGGTTGCCACGACCCCGGTATCGCTGATCTGTGCCGGTACAGATAATGCCTTTGGTAAGGGCGTAGGTACCCCCACGCACGCCTCGTCCGTGTACTGCATCATTAAGCGCAAGATTCGACCGCTGGATGTGATGACCTGCGAGGCCAGTAATGAAGATGGCACGACCCGTCTGGGGTTCGCGTGCACGGGTGTAAGCTATGGGATTGGCTCCGATATCGCCATGGAATCGGAAGCTACGCGATGGCTTGGCGTGTACCGCTACTTCTACCTCAAGGTGAAGCGCGGCCTGATTGCGCCACACAAGCACGAGGCCAAGATCAGCTACGTCTTGTCGGACAACACACCGGTGAATCCCGAAACAGGCGAGCAGATTCTGCGCACGTACTACGAGATCAAGGACGATATGGCAGTGGACCAGCATTACGTGGAGCTCTGTAGTATCTACGATGACTCAGACCCGGCTGCTAAGCAGTGGACAGGCGATGCCGAGTCCATCTTCTGCCCTGCTAGTGAGAAAAAGTATGCTGGTCAATGGCAAAGCTTTACGTCGGACTTGACATCTGCTGGTGGGTCCAACGTCTATTTCGAAACGAAGTACGCTCATCCGTCAGACGGGAATATCGACCTCATCTATTCACGCAAGGGCAACGTGGCGCAGACCGCCGAGATCGCAGTGCGTTACCTGACCAACACATTCCTGAACTCGGAACTAGTGGGCTACTACAAGGTGAAGGCGATTGTGATTGAACCGATCACAGAGAAGGTACTGAATGTGGACGGCGAAGTGTTTGCGGGAGCAGGCGCGTTCCGCGTGGAGGTGGCACCGCAGCTGCTGTGTGTGCTATCGGAGAAGTAAGTGCTAATTATTCATAATCTATCATTCATGATTCACGAGAAGCAGCCGAAGACCGTGATAAAACGACGGTACATCATAACTGTAGCCCACGATCGAAAGGACTATCGGAGCTATAGCAGATTGGGCGTCGAAGGAAACGCCCGGTGCTGTGACAAAAGTAGAGTTTGTATGGAAAATGCAAGTGTGCTCATTGTCTTCTCGTCACTCTGACCACATGTGTTTTCGTTCGACTGACTTTCTATTCATTTGCCGGAGGTCATGTTTGTCTCACTGCAGTCGTCACCGTTGTTGGTGTGGTTCCCATTAACTAAGGACTCTGATATGACGCTCCTCATTTGGAAGTTCAGGTACAACCCACCAATGCGACAGATGTGACACGATGGCTACATCATTCGGACGCGTTGTGTCGTCCGAATGTCGTTTGGATCCGAAGGGCGGGCTGGCTCTCAGAAGAAAAGCCGAGTGTGTCTGTTCATATTGTCGCCTGTCGTGGCTGCGACCTTTATAGTCATGGCTTGCACACGAACAAAGCCGCAAGAACTTGCACTGATTCATAGTTCCGACACAGCTTTGTCGCTCTCACGACGACAAACACACTTACGTTGTCGAATGCCATGGAGTTTATGACGGTAAAATTTGAGTGCACCTGATACCGATTAAAGGTCGAAATCTTTTTCTCGATTTTGTAGCAGCAAGTGCTAGGGAGTCATACGTACAACGAAATCCCATACCAAAGCTAAGTCAGCAAGCCGTCCGTTATTGAATTGACTGAAAAGATAAGCTCGAAAAATAGGCGAGATTATACTTGTGTGCGATAGCAATGCATGACGAACCTAGCCTGCTTCCCATAAAAAGGGCTCGATCGATCTCGCAGTGCCAGTTCCCAAAAATGGGCTCCTTGTAAAGCGATATGTCAGCTCAAATCGTTGAACGCCGCGTTTTTCCGCAGACCGTTCATGCTCTATAAAACGTATCGACATTTCGTGGCAACGTAAAGAATGACACAACACCGGGTCGAAGCATCGGCTCCATGTCAATGCTTCTCGGTCGCAACCCCTCCCCGAATGTCTCCTTTCTATTAAAAAGGCAGGCCTTTCGACCACGACGCCGCCTAGCTCACATCTTCAAAGGACGTGTCAAGAGTCCTGACGCCCTGTGGGGCTCTCAGTAAAGAACATGGTTGAGTTTGCTCGCCAAATCGTCGGCTTTGTGGTGGTGTTGCTAGTGGTCGAGGAAGTGACGAGAAGTTGATAAACGTTACGTCGGGTTTGGTATTCGTGATTGCTAACATTCAATGTAGTCCAGACGTTACAATTTTAGGATGAGCGGTAAAAAGAAGCAATCGTGTAAATGTTGGACGAAAACCTTGAAATATACAGACAGGAATTAAGTTCTCGGTCATTCGAAGAACAGCCCTAGTGCGTGACCGACTCTTCTCTTCTTATGCAGCATCCTGACATCATGATGGACAAGACCTCATTCTACTGGCGATGGTCGAACACCACATCACTGGATGAGGCTCAAACATTTTTGTGATGCCCAGAAAGCCAAATAGTTACCGAAACAGTATTCGCTCTCGACAGTAGCTTCGACCAGTGGCTCAAGTTAACGATAGCGACAGTGCACTAGACCATTCTTGTCACCTCACCGCCGCTGTTGTCGCGTACACTGAATCAACAGCCAAGTCTCATAAGCGTGTCCTGGTCCAATTGCAGCGTATTACATACAGTTCATGGAATGGCATTTTCATACACACGTCATGCTTGTCTAAGGCCCATATTACGTGAATGTTCTTTAGCGAACGACTGGCATCTTCACGGAGCCTTTTCGCCCAGTGCACGCGAAATAATCAACTGAAGGCTGCTTTGGATGTACGATGAATCGTCATGTCGTAGTAGAACCAAACAAGACAGGAGCTTATGCATGTGGCAACTGACACAAAACGTTTCCTTCTGTACTTAGTACCGGTCCAAAGGCAGGTTGCATCGGCCAGAGTGAAGCTACGGTGATCCAGGTGAGGATATCGCACACATTTTTGCTACACTGCTTATATGATGATGGGATAGACGCCGGACACGAAGCAGCGATGAACTGAGAAGCATAGAGCGCCAAACGCGTTATGAAAATGTGTGGATCTCGCAGCGGGACATCAGACTGCTGAAGCGAAACTGGCCATTGTTGTCGACTGGAGAATAGAAATCACATAAACAAGGGAGACGGGTACCTCGAACTACTGTCAATTCGTTATGTGCGTGATTGACATCGTACCCGACAAGGTTTGCGGGTTGTATGTATGTCATCGGCAAAGTTCCTCCATCACGTACGTGATGCGTTCATACAGTTGTGCGAATCGGCGGATACGAGCGACAGTGTGTAGCTATTGTATTTAAAATCTACGGATAGCACGGTCAATGAACTCCCGCTATCCCTCCAAATCAGCGCTTGCTCGTTATAACAAAATGAGCACTTGCTCTCTTTTTTCGAAAAAAAAAGAGGCAGAGCTCGGCTCGTTTCTGTCCCCCTGTCGTCGCGTTGTGCGTGTCTTCGCCAATGAAACTGCAGCATCCGCCACGAGGGTAGGGTCCCCCTCTCTCTACACGACACCGCGAAGGCCGGAGCAAGAGACCTCGATAGACGCACGTTCAGTTCGGATTGTTGCTCGAGCCAAACGCCTCGAGCTGCCCAAACGAGAGGCGAGAAGCCACACGCACACGCACCGAGTGGCAAAAGTCGCAACTACCGAGTCACGATCCTTCGGCTTCCGTGTCCCCAACAGCGTCCCCCCTCCTTCGTCCCCTCCCTCCCCTCCCTCCAGACATTCAGGCCTTCCTGTCGATACAATAGATAGAGAGAGAGAGAGAGCTACGAATCGAGATCCTGCGCACACACGTAGTACGGCCGGCGCTTCTATTTGAACGGCTGCTGTAAATGATAAGCTGCGTGCTCACGTCTTCTTTCCCCTGCCTCTTCTGTGTCCTTGTAGCTCGCACCAGTCTCCAGTCTCGACCGGGTTCACTAAGGTGCGTCGTCACCCTTTGTGTCGCTCCTGTACTTACGTACCTATTGATTGACTCTGTCCCCTCTATCCCCTTTACCTCTCTCTCTCTCTACCTTGTTTCTGTAGCTTACCATGTCGTTTCGTTTCCCTCGGTGGGGACGCAAGAAGAACAAGAACAAAGAGTCGGCTGGTGGAGGGACCAAGTATCACTCGAACGGTGCAGGAGGCGCTTCGGGGGGGATCGCCCGCCCCCCTCCCTCTGCTCCCGGACGCACGTACAGCACGGGCTCGGACTATAATGCCCAGCAGTCGTGGCAGTCGAATGGCACGATGCCGCCCATGTCAGCTTCGAGTGACCGCCCGAAGCCGTCGCCGTATCGAGAGGCACCGCTGCCTTTTTCTCACCCGCTCTATGCGATGGACGCGGAAGGGATGATCCACTTGAAAGCCACGGGCAAAGGAATGGATGACTCGGATCTGGCTGTGCACCAGGATGAGATCATTACGACTGTCGTTAAGTACGTGCAGGACTCAATGCGCAAAGAGTTGGGGTTTCGCGAGGTACCGATCCCAATGGATAGCACGCCTGAAGCGCCTGCGAAGGCTAATGTCTTTGTCTCACGCAACTACGAGACGTGCAAGAAGTTGCTGGTCTTTGTAGCGGTGAGTCGAGGACTATACCCTGGTCTTTGGAGTCGTGGCCTCGTGCTGCATGCTGGCGTCAAAAGTGGAAGTATGCTCGAGTACTTTCGCAAGGCTATCGATGAGGGGTATGGCATTATTGTGGCCAACCCGAACAAAAACGTTATTGTCATGCGGGATGGCAAGCAAAGGATGCAAATACCTGGATCGTCCAGTCCGGAAGAGCACATGGATTCGCTTTGGGACTCGTATATTGCTCGATCGGCGGCTAGACGCGTGTATTTCTTGGGCTACTCGTACGGTGGTGTACTGATTAAGTACCTGCTACAGTCGCGCGGTGACCAGCTCATGCGTCGCAATGGTGCCATTGCACTAATTGAGTCGAGTCACCGTATTGAAGATGGTGACTCGCAGTCCGTCAAGTCGATTTTGGCACATCGAACGATGTACTGGGAGAGTAATGATCAACCTTTCCAGACCAAATTGGACGGTGATGCTCCACATCGCACTGGATGTACGTGTTTGTCAGCAGGCAGACCGCCTCGTGCTCATGCAAATCACTACTACGTCACCGCGTTTTGCATAAATAAGATCGAGGAGGCGCTGTTCCGTTTTCTAGACACACGGGATGCTACTACCTATGTGGCTGGCGAGAAGCCTATTCCTGAGCCTCCGACATCGGCTCCAGCAGTCATTGGTAACGGTGCTGGTGTCCCCAGCGTTCCACAGCTGCAGCGCCAGGAGTCAGCGCGGCGTGAAGCAAACAACTCGAAGATGGGCAACAGCGAGAAGCACTGCAACTTGTGTCTGTTCCACTTCACGCTTTTCGACCGTCGTCATCATTGCCGCATGTGCCATCGGGCTGTTTGCAATGCGTGTTCGCGTGACCGACTGTTCTTGCCAGGCTCTAGCACGGCTCAGCGTGTATGTACGGAGTGTGCGACAGAGGGACCTCGCACCAATCAGGCTCCCACCCAGCCTCTTCCGAGTTACCCGCGCAGCAACCGTACTGCCAGCGACGCTGTGGCAGCTACGAACGTATCGACAGATATGTCACAAACGCGTAATCGCTCGGATACGCAGATGTCGAATCAAGGCCGATCGGAGTCGAACGCCCAGCCGCCCGGAAACTCGAAACTCAGTGTGGAGGATTTTGATTTGCTGAAGGTGATTGGTAAGGGAGCATTCGGTAAGGTGATGCTTGTGCGCAAGAAGGCTCCTGATGCATCAGCTATTCCGAACGCTATTTACGCCATGAAGGTGCTAAAAAAGGCATCTGTGTTTGCTAAGAACCAGGTGGAGCATACCAAATCGGAGCGTCGAATCCTTCGCGATATCGATCATCCCTTCGTGGTGCGTCTACGATATGCGTTCCAGAACGAAGACAAGCTGTATCTCGTCATGGACTACTACAATGGCGGTTCGCTGTTCTTTCACTTGCGCAAGTCACGTAAGTTCTCGGAGAAGCGCGCTCGTTTTTACGCGGCGCAATTATTGATGTCGATGTCCCACTTGCACGAGCTCAATATTGCTTACCGTGATCTGAAACTTGAGAATATTTTGATGGACGATAAGGGTTTCATTGCCCTAACGGATTTCGGCCTTTCGAAGGAGAACGTCGACATGCCTGATGGCGCCAAGACTTTCTGTGGAACGGCCGAGTACATTGCGCCTGAACTGCTGAAGGGCTTGCCGTACGGCAAAGCTGTTGACTGGTGGGGCTTTGGCACGCTGCTGTATGAAATGATGACTGGCCAGACGCCGTTCTTCGACCGTAACCGAAAGCGCATGTTCCACAACATCTTACACCGAGACGTTGTTTTTACTCAGGCTTTTTCGGAGGACGCCAAAGACTTGCTCACAGGTTTGCTTCGTCGAGATCCTGCCAAGCGATTAGGCTCAGGTCCCTCGGGTGTGCAAGAAATTATGGATCACCCGTTCTTTGCTAGCATCGACTTTGACAAGCTGCTGAAGCGCGAGATCGAGCCGCCTTTCAAGCCCGTTGTGAACAGCGAAGCCGACACAGGCAACGTTGCCAACATCTTTACGCGCGAAATGGCGCGCGACTCGCCAGTCACGCAAGAGCTAGGAGCTACGCATCGTGCGCAAGCGCACTTTGACGGCTTTACCTACATGCCCGGCAACGAGCATTTGAACTAAGCGGGAGGTTGAAGGAGAGGCAAAGCAGAATGTTAGATGACTATCGGTCTTCATGGCTACGAAGAGATTAAAACCCTGTTCGGTCGGCTTGAAGCGTACGCCAAGCGTGACTATCCTGACCGAGCAGCGAGTGGGTGGAGAAGGACAAGTGTGAAAGAGCCGTGTCAGTGCGTGTATTGTGTACGACAAGAAGAATAGGAGACGAGCTGATGAGGGGTGATGCGGTGGTGTCGCTCCGGTGGCTCGGAGCGCTAAGGAGTGGATCAAGCTTGGTGCTGCAGTGGCGTTGCCATGCTCAGCGGACGTGCCCATTTTTAGTTTTAGCGTCGCGAGGCACGTAAGATGAATAGAAAAAATGAACATTTTTAGCACCCAGCGGCTCACATAGCTGCAGCATCCTCCTCGCCGTATTGCCTACCATAGGATAATGGCGCTCGCATAAAAGCGCCGGCAAATCTATCGTAAATATTGCAGCCCTTACGATCTACTCTGTGCTGCAACTATGTCGAATTGGGGACATGTGTTCATCTGCTTCCCGCATTTCTCTTACGACCAGCAAGAAAGCAGTCATACCTCGCGATTGTCGTCTATCATACTGCCAAATAACACGTTGGATTTAGAATCAAGATTTTTGTGGCTGTGTGCAGGCTGGTGGACAGAAAATAGTTGTGGTGAGTCTGTATCTGTCGCAGTCGACTACCAGTGCGCGACAAACTCGATTGACATCGCAATGGTCAAGGCTGCTACAAAATACTAGCAGAGCAGCTCCAACTCGGTGGACGTTGTCTGATTAGACGCTCCAGTACAACATCAAAACTGATCAGCTTTGTTTCGTTTCATAGCAGAAGCTCAACATCTATCCTTAAATGTCGGGAAAGAATTATTTGTGGGTGATGTTAAGTCTAAGCATATACGTACTGCGTTGGCACGTCTGATTCCATAGCATAGTGGGATGTTTGTAAATTTGTGGTACCTCGCCGAGCTGTAAGACCCGTTCATGCCCCGCTCATCCAACAGTAGAGCTGGCAGCATGTACTAAACTTACTGGACAGTGGTGTGGCGGGTCACCGCGATGCCATGCATAGTCATTTTGAGCTATCAAAAAAAATGACGAAGAGAAATAGCGGGCTTAGCGCGACTGGTCTCCCTGTGGTATCGGTCTTGCCATTCCAAATGTCACACATATCGGATCGCTTCCACAATCTACTTACTCTTATCGTGGAGCTAATGCAATCAATGGCACGGTTATCAATTGTTGCGACGAGAGCTACACTCTTGTCGTCCTTTGCCACCATATGACCTTTGCAGACACAGCCTTTGCCAACAAAGGCACAAATAGTATTTGAAGAAAATAGCTTAGTTGCTTTGGTTTCGTCAATCTAGTACCAATCCTGTGGTCTAGCCGTTAAGCGTTGTCGCTGGTCTAGAACGTAGTAGAAACATTACCTGTGGTAGGCGGTACACTTACGGATTGCTAAAGATAGGCTAAAGAAGTGAATGAGCAACTGCATAATGTGAGCGGCGATCCTGCCAAAGCGTACCGAAACGTGTGCGATAGTTGTGTGGCCTAGCGACTCTACCAGCTTACTGATAATCCAACACTAATTGCAGGTCTTCGACCTTCATTAAATAATTCAGTCTCTAAAAAATGTCCATCAGTATTTATAACTTTTCAGGAAATAATTTTCTAATTAAAAACCGTACCCTTAACCGACAGAGCCACTGTATTTGCTACTCACCTGTGGTTGTCCTGAGGGTCGCGCAGGGGAAATCTATCTATCTTATTCTGTAGATCTCGGATACGGCAAGGCCAAGAAGAGCAAAATTGGTCAATATCGATAACAGTTCTAGTGGATGACGATTTCATAACGGACTTGAACTGCTAACGTTTCTGGTGTTGAGCGCTGAAAATCTGAACCAGATATCCGCGAGGACTCAAAGAGCTTCGTTACTACCACACCAATCGACGCTGCTGTGATGACTGCATTTCTTCTCGTACGACAACGAGCAAGCGAGTCTAGTTGAGCGAAAAATACCGTTCTTCTTAATTCTCGCTGCTGTCTTTCATATCACCACATCCGATGAAAGACACTTCTGGTGTAAGTTACAATATTATTAGATTCAGATCTGTGTTTAAGGTCACATTGGAGCGAATTATTTGCAGAATTGAACCAACTTAGTGAATGAGCGCAAGGTGAAAACCAAGCTTTTTAATTTGTACTTATCTGCCTATCTGTCTGTGGGTGTGTCTGTGAATGACGCTAGGAGTACCATTAACGTCGTAATACGTCCGATTTAGTCTTTTACCTCCTTGTATATCATAAATAACAGGTTACCTTGCATGTCATGCCAAGTGCGATGTCTCTGTGAGCAACGCTAGGTGTACCTTACACGCCGTACTAAATAAGATGTTGCATTTGTCTCCTCTTCATTGGTCAAAAGGCATTATTGCGATCCTGATGGATGAAGCTATTAATGACTGAGCGCGAGGTACTAGAATAGAACGAACTTGATTCAGTTCTATGGACTTAATTACTCCAATCAAAGGGCGAGCTCCAGAGCTTGCTCCCTATCTTATTATGGATAGTGCATTACGTCAAATATAATTACAGAATTGTATAGTCTATATACAAATACTACACAGCTGGTTCATCTCCAACGTGACGATGTTTTTGGTGCAAAGATCATTGCGTCCTGTGGTGATGATGTAACTTATATACCTTAATTTTCATCTTAGGCAATTTTAAAATGGCGAGCATCACTTAGGTATATCTTTAGTCGTAGCGGTGAACGTATCGACTTTGATGCGTAAGAGTACGGCATAATATTTTGCAGCATAGTTCAGCGTCGCGCAAAGAGCTCGTCGTATCTTAAGACGAGCATACTGGTGATGAAATGCCAAATGTTTTTGGGTGGGGGTCAATTTTAAGAACACCGCGATTGGACTCCCGAAATAATCTTAGATAAAGCGATTGTGTGATAACACCAGCTTTATATTCTGATTAAAATTAATGCTTATGATAGAAGGATGGACGGCTTACATGTGAACGATACTTATACCTGTTTTGTATTGATGCACCTCTTCAACATCCGCTTGTACTAAGGTGTTCGCACGTCAACATGTGTCATTATTTTTCCATTGTGCTGATTGTGCAAGGTACATTGCAGACTACCATTTTATAATTCACATGCTATCAGTCCTGTTACCACTAAAATGAGCGACAAAAATACGCAAAGACATGTATATGGATGAACACACGCAGATTAGTTTTTAGTCAAGTATGCAAGTCACCGCTCGAATAAGATGTTAAGGGGTGTACTCCACGAATGAATCTTAAACCATTTCGTCACGAGATAGGCTGATTAATAAAGTGCTTGTAAATGTGTTGTAGCATTATTGATTTGTAAATCCTTCTCTCACGTGCAGATATGTATGTAAGAATCAGGGTGATTCCAAAGACATAAACGCATAATGAAAGGTTGATCGACATTTAAACGACAATTTATTACATGTCTCCTCACAATTTCTTACAACATCGATTTGAGTACTTGCCATAATGCCCGATAAGAGTTGCCGATACACTGTTAGTAGTAGTAAAATTTGCCACGTTGTATCAGTATAGATCATTCCACGCTTGAGCATACTGATAGTGGAGGAAGCGTTTGTTGACATTATTCTGCGTACCCTTGAAACTGAAAAAGAAGGTGAGTGTAGATGGAATATCATTGGAAATGGGACGAAGAACTGGTCACAAGGATCATCAGCGAGGTGATGGAAATGTCAAGTAAATCGCATGTTCATAAAAATTGGTTGCCGAGTGATGTATATTCCGCCAGCGTTCGATAATAGTTACTATTATGAATGCCAATATTGGCGCAATGAGAAGCCTTTTCGAAGGTCACCAAAATCTCCTCGCCATCAACACAAACCCCCACTCACGCCGTTAAGTTGAGTGATACCCATTCGCAACCCATTAGGCAGCTAAAATATTAGACTCGTCGAAACTCCTTCAGCTGATAAGCAATTCCTTACAGCGCAGCAAGCAATTCCTTACAACGCAAAAGTTGTGCAGTCCAAGATCCAGTCACTTCTGCCTAACGCTTCCGCAACTACTACGTAGACCCGTGCTCGCGCAACGATTCTGGTCGATTTCTCGCAATTTTTCCGTGCCATCACGTGCAATTTTTTCTACTACCTTACAGGCTCGATAGTCTCGCACCTACACGAAAATTGGCTGCTGCTGCACTAAAATTGGTCGCTCAGTTTCATTATTGACGTTTTTATACTTCTTAGTTTATCGAACCATATTGATCAGCCTACAGTATCATCTTTCTTGTTTTCATCCAAGGGAATAACTAGTTGCGGCCGCAACTATGGGCACGGGTGCAGCACTAAGACCCCAGGTATCATGGTGATTGCGGCTCCTGTCGCGCTCCTTACTGACCCAAGGAAAAAGGGAATATGAGTTCCAGATGAATTTTTGGAAAATAATTTGAAACAAGTCGATTTTACTATGGCAAACAATAAGTTTGTAGAGGACCAAATTCAGATGTTTATTTGCATACAATAGTGAAGGCCATGTATCCTACCATTCATCTCTGAGGCCGTTGAAGAAGATTCCTCTTCTTCTTGGGGGCGGCTCCTTGACTTTTCATTTTTGTACTTTTTGCGATGTACACAAAGCCTCTTTAGCCAAATCGAATCTGTCCTTCTATCTTTTCTACTTGCGCTTTATTCCAGAACCCAGTCCGGCTTGTAATTATTTACTGACAAATGCCGCATTTTAATTTATTCATCTATGGCTGTCAGGACACGTCGGTTCTTACAAATTATGACGCTCTTTGTTTGCAGACCGGTAGTTGTGCTATCGGCGACGCAGTAGCTTTCTTGCATCTCACTTGCGCGGCTGCGCTACCCCGATCCGCCGGTGCCAACGGAGCCATAGGTGTTCATGGCGCTGCAGTGGAAGAAATTCGACACAGTTGTGAGTGTACGTTCGTTCTTTCATTGGCAACTAACAATCGCTGCTCTACTTGTGCTGTAATTTCCACCACCTCTAGATAGACCATCTGCACGCTCTGCATTTCCTTATCGAATCATTCCATACGCTCGATAACCTTCAATTTATATCCTTCCCTCGTCACCCTCTGTAGGAGGTTGCTTAAAGCTGCCACGCAAAATCTTCATTCACACCTTCAGGTACCAGTGAAAAAGAGGTTTACGGTCTTTTTACGCGTGCAGCAAGGTTAAATGGGAGCCCTAATGCTAACAAACCGATCGATACATGCTTGATTGTTGTGTGGCACGGACACGTTGCCCCGTACCCTGCCCACACGTTAATGCTAGGTTGCAGATATAAGAATAATTTCACATTTTGATCAATGTAAAAAGTATAAACGAATATTGGCTAAATAAAAAATAAGACGAGCGTTCCGGTGGGACGCGGTATCTACTGCACGCTTTAAACTATACAATAAACTTTGAGATGTACCTCAATGTCATAATCTAATGACTTCGAATGACGTCATCCATGCGTGTGACATGCTTTGTGGTAGTTACGCTATTATTGTACCTCGACCATGTGTAACGTCGAAATGCGCTTCGCACTTCGGACTTTCTAACTTTTTTCGTGTCGTCGTCACACAGAAAGTGTGGTGGAGTTGGTCCTCAAAAACAGCGTGATGAACCCCAAATCACTCACGATCCCGGACGGCCGACTTACGAGGGGGGTACCCCGATTCCGCACATGAACCTTAACTCACCTTGTGTACACGTTCGATGGATGGTTGCACCCTCTGGTAGACTAGGACAGGTCGACATATGTTTTGGGTCTTGATAGAGGTATACATGGGGCCTCGAGTAAAAATGTTGCACTCAGTAGGCGAGTGGGTGGTCATCCGATCTGTAACGGGGCACCCTGAAGCTTGTACTGGTGACAGTACAAGCTACTTATTCTGATAACAGAATAAGGCGGTGCCTCGTAACTTCACGTACACTCGTACGTGCAGAGGAAGACGGTAAGAAGAAGCGAGTACTCGGTTAGAGTAAAAAGTAGAACTGTATTTATAATAGTTAATGTCTGCAATAAATCACTATTTATCTTCATCTAACTATGTCTAAATACAAATGTGTAAATCAGTTATCTGCTCACCACTCATTGCGTGCGTCTGTCGTGGCGCGTCTTCGTTGGTTGATATAATGGCCTATATCAACCAATTAGGAACTACTTGGAAGTGCTACAGAATATTGTCCTTATGACAATATTCTGAGAATATAACTCTTATAGTTATATTCTATTAACAATTTCTTATAAATTGTTATGTAACGATTCACCCCGTTACATCACCCCCCTTAACCATCAGTCACTTTAGTGACTGATTGACTAAATGGATACTCGTCCCAAATCATTTGGGACGGGGTTTGCACTTGTTGGTCCGCGTCCACTTTCCAACATCTCATCGCATGGTAAACAAGCCCATGCGATGCGCGAGCAAGGCCGCCGAGAGCGCGTCTGCACGTCTCTGTGCGGACGCCGAAGCAGAAACTACAGCAACTGATGTCCCATCGGTTGCTGAATCGACTCAGCCTGTATCACCTGGTGATGCAGGCGCTGGTCATGAAGACACTCGTGTCTTCACAGAGTACGAGCTCGGTGTCTCGTACTCTCCTGATACGGATGACGGATCCGTATCGACGGCAATTGAATCCAAGCCGCCTGCCAAGCGTGGCATGGACGATGCTTTGCGTCGCAGCATCTTTGGTTCATCTGATGAGTCAGATGAACCATCGCCGAAGCGAAGGCGCTCGAGGTCGCGAGACTCGGGCGCTAATAGTGGTGTCGTTTCTCCAATGGACACCACTTCACAGCGAGGTGCCAGTACTTCTGTCGGCACGTCGCAGGAAGAGCGGGACCGCAATGTGTTGCGTCTCGCTCCAGAAAAGAAGGCATGGATGCCTCCTAAATCCGTCATGGATCACTTGTCGGCGACGACGAGTGATCGTTATCGAACACGATTGTTCGATTCGTCAAGGATTCATCACCTTGACCCCAGCGCGAAAGACTATCGCGCTGAACATGAGTTCTTCATCGATGCTTTCTTCAGACATCGATGGTACAGTGGGAATCACAAACGTGATGGTCCCTCACTACTTCAGGCGTGGAACGCCTACATCCATAATCTCGAGGATGTAGGTCGTGACGCTTGGAACGACAAACTTATCAAAGCTCGTGATAAGTTTGAAAAGCGAACCCCGACAGGTGCACGCTATAAGCTGCATCGTCTGTCAAGGGAGAAAGGATTACCCTGCCTCTCTTGGGGAGACTCGTGCCCATGTTGTGTGAACAACTCTGCACGAGCACCTAAGGAGGCTTACCTCCTTACCAGCCCGTGGTGGCGCGTACGTGTCTCTACTGAGATGTACGAAGGGATTGACAACCTGAAATCCCTTTACGACCGTGCCGGGAAGACTTTCTCCGGCGGTCCTTCTGCGGCACAGGATGTGCCGCGTCGTACTGCTCAACCAGACCCAGTACGTCGATCATCAGTTGGGAGCGGGGCTCCCAAGAATCCCAGGACGGGGGATAGCCGCGCCACCGGACGAGATAACTCGTCCGACGTCCGTTCACGTCGCGGTGGTTCAACAGCTGCTCTACTAGATAGCGCTGGCCACCGCGAGAGTCCTCTAATGGAGGTGGAGGAGGAGGAAAGACGCTCTCCACACGATCATGTGGATCGGTGTGTTCCCGAGAGCTTCTTTGATCGCGTAACGCAAGGGTTACGCGACGATCTCGAGCATGAGCGGAATAGGCGTCTCCAGATGGTGGACACTGCCTCGAAGCATCGAGCTGAGTTTGCCTTTGCTCAGCTTGAGAACGAGAGATCTCTGACATCTCTTCGTGACGAGCTAAGGGTAGCTCGTGGGATTGTTGATCGGTCTCGGGCTGAGATAACTGCTCTTCAGACCCTTGTTGATGCCCACCATCGGGAGCACAAGGCTCTCTGCGAGATGCTTGAGCGCAAGGGCGTTCTTCATCGGAAGAAGCAGCGTACTGATGGTACGGCTTAAGCCGACCAACGTAAAACGTGGGATGCGTTCGCATCTTACGTGGTAACTCGATCGTGTATGCATTGCCTAGGCGGTGCAATACACGAAATGGGCCAATGTACTTGGGTAGTAGTTTACTGCTACCCAAGTTAGTCACTACATGTTTTGGTAGATTAACCGTAGACAGTAGGACTAAGTCACCTTTATTAAATAAAAAGAGTGTTTGCCCTTCCATTCTTGTCAGCGTTTTGCTTTTGCTTATCCACCGCTTCGGCGATGGAGTCTTGCACAAAACGGACTACCGTTTCACGAGCCAGTATGAACTCATCTGATGACTCGTTAGCTTCAGTGTGCTGTGAGCGCACTGCAGCAACAACAACCTTTTCTTCAGTGAGGGCTTCCGCACTCTCACTGGCATCATTGTCTTCAGTGAGGGCTTCCGCACTCTCACTGGCATCATCTTCTTCGATATCGATGTTATCGATATCGGCATCAAACGCAATGACTTCTTCGTCAGAGCGTGATGAGCGTGAACCAAATCGGTTTTGCTCGCGCGAGTCCCTCCCCTTAAACCAGAGTTACACTCTAGTAAGGTGGGTACACGCGGATGGCGCAAGCCATTCACGTAAAACGGTGTATGTGTCGTGGACGCATGCACCGAGTTGTTGATGGCAAACTCTACCATTGGCAAAACTCACTCCAACTCTTAAAGGAGTGTACGTATCCTCGAAGTATCTCTTCAAGGACACGATTGGCACGTTCCGTCTGACCATCTGACTCTGGATGATCAGATGTTGACATCTTCAAGCGCGTTCCGAGTGATTTGAACACGGAACGCCAGAAATCAGCAGTGAATCGTGGATCTCTGTCTGATACGAGTTCACGGGGCAACCCATGAAGTCGGAAGATGGTGTCAATAAAGACACAAGCACAGCCACTTGCCGTGATTGTCTCTGGTACAGCCACAAGGTGTACCATTTTGCTGAATCTGTCAACAAATACGAGAATACCCGTATTCCCGCGTGCGTCTTTGGGTAACCCGAAGACGAAATCCATTGAGATGGATTCCCAGCACTCAGCCGGAACCGGTAGAGGCTGTAAAGGTGCACGCAGTGAAGGACTTGACTTCACTCGTTGGCAGACTTCGCATGCGCGAACATACTTTCGCACAAACTGATACTGGCGGGGCCAGTAAAAGTCTCGACTTACCGTGAGATATGTTTTCTCTCGGCCACGATGTCCTCCTATAGGAGCATCGTGATACTCGAACATGATCCGCAAACGCAGATCAGTATCATCTGGAATGACAACACGTGGTGTGTCACCAGAAACGGCTGTATAATACAGTAAACCGTTACGAGTAGTGTATCGATCTGATGCAGATCGATACGCAGACGACAATCGTTTCAACGATTCTCGAGATGGTTGGGAGAGATGTGACAACAACTTCACTATCTCACCATCTTGGGCGTATGCCCGCCTCACATCATCATACAACGTTGTAGATGGAACTGAGGACGTCATAACCGCAACAGTGACTGTCTCACTGTTGGGTTTCGCGACTGTTTCAAAGTCGGGACGACGTGAGAGTGCATCAGCGACGACATTAAGTCGTCTGATTTGTACTCGACCGTAAAGTTGTATTCTGCAAAGAATGACAACCACCGCGCCATTCGTTGTGAAAGGTGCGGGCTGTTCACTGCCGTGCGTAAGGACGCATGGTCAGTGTAAACAACGAAGGGTCTATCTCCTAATAGATAGACTCTGAACTTCGCGAGTGCATACTTCATGGCAAGGAGTTCCTTGTCATGTACTGGATAGTTCCGCTCAGCTGGTTGCAGCTGACGCGACTGATAGCAGACGACGCGTTCAACGCCTTCAAGGTCGTACTGCATTAATGCACAGCCGATTGCGAAATCGCTGGCATCACAGACCACATGAAATGGCCTGTCCTGATCGGCTATTGCTAGGACTGGGGATTGTATCAAGCTCTGCTTGATACCCTCAAAGGAGCGTTGACATTCAGCGTTCCATAACCACCTCTCGTTCTTTTTCAACAAACGAGAGAGGTGTACAGTCATCTCGGCGTAATTGCGTGAATACTTATGCAAATACGCCGCTAGCCAAGGAATTTTCGAAGACCTTTGACATCGACCGGCACGGCCAGTCGGTGATCGCCTTGATCTTTTCGGGATCAGGACGTACACCGTTCTTACCAACGATGCACCCAAGAAGTGGTATTTCGCTTGCTGCAAATATACACTTCTTGAGGTTTGCATACAATTGATGCTTTCGCATGATTGTAAGAACTTGTCGGACGTGGTACCTGTGAACCTCAACGTCCGACTTTCCATCCATAGCTCGACTATGGATGAATACGTCATCGAAATAACTCGGCGCGAATTCTCGTACTGGCCTCAACAGATGTGATACACACCTGTTGAACGTGGCAGGGGCATTACTGAGCCCTTGTGGCATTACTAGCCATTCCCAGAGCATGCCGCTAGGCGTGCTAACTGCGGTATAGGGTATATCCTGTTCCGCATTAGGATTTGATAGAAGCCATCCATCAAATCCATGGACGAAAAGATGGTACTCTTTGACATACCATCAATGATTACGTCCTTCCTCGGTATCGGCGTCTGAGCCGGTACCGTTGCAGCGTTCAATTTGTTGAACGCGTGCACTATCCGCCACCCTCCTGTTGCTTTTCGCACACAGAAGGTCGGAGAGCTATGTGGGGAAGTTGATTCCCTCACATGGCCCGCTGCTAAACGATCGGCAAAGAACTTGTCGATCGCAAGTACTTGTTCACGAGGCAGTGGCCACTGCTTCATGACACAGTACTTCGAGCCTGGTTTAAGCTCGACTTCGTGTCGAATACCTTTATCCTTCGGTAATTCGCATGGAACAGTTTCAGGGAATACATCCTTGAATTCAACCAAATCCTCATAGAGAGGGTTTTCCTTGAGCGATTCCCATGATTGGGACTCATATCGCTCAATTCGTGTCTTTTCATCTAGGACACTCTCGTCCATAGATGAACTACTGAGAACTCTCTCGTTCTCAGTAAACACTGTTGCTGACCTTATGTCGGTTACATACTCGTCGTCAGCGACGAGTATGCAGATCTGCTTGACTTTGCCACTACGCAGATCACGCAAGAACCTTTTATGTTCGAGCGTTGGCAACTGAGTGATCTCCGAAGTTAACTTCGGAGGCGCAATCAGATCAAGTGTATAAGCGCCTACACATGATCCGTTATTGACTATGACATTCAATGTCTCTGTCATTTCCTGGGGACTTATTCCCTCAGGCTTCGAAGGACTTATTCCTTCGTCTTCCCGGGGACTTATTCCCGCGGGTTTCGGGGAACTTATTTCCGCCGTATTTGTAATCTTGGGACTTATTCCCTTTACTTCCTCTAGCTGGGGTTGCGCAACCACAGCGAGATCCTCTACGAAAGACTCTCCAGTCGATCTAGGATTATCGTTTCGCTTAACCTGAGCGATCGATTGTTTCTCTTCTAGATGTTCCCCTCTAGGGATACATCTTTGTCCCAGTCCACCCGACTTATTCAGTGGTGGACCTTCGGCGCAGCCTGTGTTTCCTCACAGCCGCCGGAACTTTGCTCCGAAGTGTAACCGTTTGGTACACTAAGGTTTTGTGCAGTCGTACTAACGACCGTACCACAAGTGAGGCCATCGCACTCACTCGTAGTACATCCACACGCTTGTGGACGCTCCAAAACGTTCATCAGATGGCCATCTGATGAACAAGCGGCAGGCATCGTTACTGTCCGATGTTGCCAGTTTACCCGTGGTTCGTACCTTCTGAGCCACGGTATTCCAAGGATGACATCAAATTTGTCATCCAAATCCAATACGATAAAGTCATCGTCATATTGGGTATCTTCTAGCGTATAGTGAATCTTCACTATACGCTTCATGACGGTTACGGATGCGCCTGTCGCAAGACGTACCGTCATCCTCGTAGGAGGTGTGTCACATTCACTGAATTTAAAGTGACCATCTTCTAGCGATTGGCGTCGCACAAAATTGTTGGACGCCCCACAATCGACTAGGGCTCGAAGGGACAACTTATTCGTCACTTCGAGTTTCAAGGTAATGAGTGAGATCTCATTACCTAGAGCAGCAACGCACAATGTCTGTGTGTTGGGAGCAACCTTCATCAAGAGGCCTACAAATTCTCTTGACGTTGCTGGATCAGTAGGGTGCTCCGCACCTACTGATCCTGTCCGTTTTTGACGGTCCATCCCGTTGTTGCGTCTTTGCACCAACTGCGGACCCTCGTCCCTGCCCCTTTCTCATGGGTGGACGGTCACTACGCCCAGTGTCGCGAGACACTGGACGAGGGGCACTACACTCGTAAGCGTAGTGTCCTGTCTTTTGACATCTGTTGCATCTCTGCAACTTCTTGTAGCCTGTAGAGCGAGCCTTCTCGCTCTCTACATAACAGAGTTCCATCGGCTCTGGACCTCCGTTGTCATATCGTCTCGGTTGACGATATGATGTCGAGCTGGCGCGAGCCTGTCTCAGACTGAAGTCTTCCTGCTCCGCAATGGAAATGGCTTGTTCTAGTGAATCTAGTTCAAGCCGGAACAGGTGAGTCTTGACGGGACCATCCGCAAGACCCTGCATGAACACCGAAACCAACGTGTGTTCATCCACCGGATTGGAACTTATACAACTCGTAAGATGTCGTATATGTTGAGCGTAAGCGTGCACATCACGCTTACCCTGCTTGAGCTTCAAGAGTTCGGTTCGAGCTCTGAACTCAGCTCTAGGCGGTTCAAACGTTTGTCTGAGCCGCGACTTGAAGACTTCCAACGACCCAAACGCATATGGGTCGTGCAGCTTGAGCCCCAGTGCCCAAGTCTTGGCACGTCCTGCCAGATTTGACTGGGCAAATGCAACTTGCATATCCCCGTCGTCGATGCGACGCGCCCTTATGGCGTCATCCAATTCGACGAACCATCTCAAGAGGGAGTCTTCTTCGACCCCTCTATACTTTGAGATGTCAATCTTCAAAGTCTCGGGCCGACGCGAGTGCATCGACCCGCCAGCAGCAGCCTGCTGCTGTCTCAACAGTTCAAACTGTTGAGCACCTTGTTCTCTCAACAACTCTGCTTGTTGAGAACCTTGTTGGTGAAGCAAGGCTACTTTCTCGCGTTCAGCGTCAAGTTCATTTTGGATGAACTTGGCGATAGTAGCATGTTGGGCGTCTCTATTGAGAGCCTCTAGCATGACGCTAACAGCATGGATGCCCATGGTCGAACCCATTCGTTCAACCGCATCCCATTCGACATCGCTCAAATGGGAGTAGCCGTCACGCGTAGCGTGAAAGCTTTGGTCATCTTCATCATCCAACATATTCATGTTGGATGTGAACGCGGTCCTTGGACGGACTACGAAGTGCTACCAGGTGTAACGGGGCACCCTGAAGCTTGTACTGGTGACAGTACAAGCTACTTATTCTGATAACAGAATAAGGCGGTGCCTCGTAACTTCACGTACACTCGTACGTGCAGAGGAAGACGGTAAGAAGAAGCGAGTACTCGGTTAGAGTAAAAAGTAGAACTGTATTTATAATAGTTAATGTCTGCAATAAATCACTATTTATCTTCATCTAACTATGTCTAAATACAAATGTGTAAATCAGTTATCTGCTCACCACTCATTGCGTGCGTCTGTCGTGGCGCGTCTTCGTTGGTTGATATAATGGCCTATATCAACCAATTAGGAACTACTTGGAAGTGCTACAGAATATTGTCCTTATGACAATATTCTGAGAATATAACTCTTATAGTTATATTCTATTAACAATTTCTTATAAATTGTTATGTAACGATTCACCCCGTTACACGATCGACTTCGTCTAGAGTGGGCATATAGCCAAACTTCTTAAATAGCCTGTCGCTCTAGGCCTTTCGTTGTTGTCTTAAAGGTGTTAGCCTCCCAAAATCTTCTCCCCCTTAACCGTTAGGTAGGGATGAAGCTTTCAATAGTGGATCTTAAGAGAGGATGCTACTCGATAAACCCACAGACCAAAACCTCCCAGTGTTTCTACTCGCACTTGGGTCTTGCCACACGACTATCTCCAACGGGAGGAGCAAAAACATTTCCCTTCCCCAGAAAGGCGGGTGGCAAGGCCCTATTCCCCCTCAGGCCGACAACGTCGTGCCACGTAAATCGTAAAATCGAGTAGTGTTTAATGTCCTTCAGTCTTTTGCCACTTCTTCTCTATCCTTTCCTTATGATTTGAATGTTTGTGACAAGTCAGGAGTATCCAAATCTTAAATAATCGAGGTCTACCGATGAGGGACCAAGCCAATCAATGATATACTGAGGTCCACCAATGGGGGACCAAGGTCTTCCGATGTAAGATGGTGGTCTATATTTAGGGACTGGGCCCACAGATGAGGGTCTGTAGTCGTACTATTTCGGTACTACTTAATCTGTACCAGGGCAGCGGTCTCGTCCTAAATTGGTTCTGCGGGTCACTTTTCCCAGAGGGTCCATCCATCTTTGTGATCCCTTCCCTATCAAGCATACTTTCCCTGAGGGTGGTCCATATCCCTTCATCGAAATAGCCGGGGCCTTATTTTCCACATGCAATTTACCGCAAAGTATCATGTAGAATTTGACTTCGTTCCACACGACCGATTTTTTTGTCATTTGACACGTTTGTCGTGGAGCGTTAGATATTCTCCAAAACGATATTTATCTACGCAAACACTGCTGTTGCGATGGATCGGTACCCCCTTTCGGTGTGAAGCACCTATAATTGCTCTCTATGTATTCACAACAAGTTTGGATAAGAATAATCAAACAAGGCCTCATCATTATTTAAGTAAAGTCTCAATATGATGATGTAAGACTTTACATTGCTTTAATTTGCGTCTTAGCGCATCTCAGTAATGAGTAGATCGTACAAAAAAACAGTTCGAATACGTGTTACTTACAAGCTTTTTTTGCAGTTTTTACGCGTAACCGATCAAGCACAGATGCGGTGAAAAACGTTTAAACGTCTCTATTAACTCATGGCTGTAGCAGCTAATCGACAGCTCATACTCGCGTAAACCAAATTCCCATGGTTTCCAACAGTCCATACAAAATTCGAATGTATAACGTAGACTAAGAAGTTGCAATGTCTAGTAGTATATCGATTCGCTTAGATTCGCAAACGTTTAAGAACGCTCTTGCCTAGCCTTCACTTTTACAAGCGTAAAAGAGGTTTAGCAAGTAAAGTGAGTGATGCGATCTGCAAGGTCAAAGTATCACAACCACAACAAGAGCGATCAAAGATCTACACTTAAAGGCCGTGTGGAGCTCGCACTTCTAGATTTGAAAACTATAGGCCGATACGCATGTAAACGTTTGTCATCGAAACTTTTTGCACCATTCTATTGTCGTACGAGTGACGCTGGTTTAAGTCATCGTGCCTCATTTTAGTATTATTATCGCATCTTCATAAGGTTTAATGACTACCATCAGCGATACAGCACGAAATTCAGATGAAGTATGTATGGGTAAATGGACACGATTTTCCAAACTTTTTTAACGTTGTTGAGTTTGTGCTCAAGATTGTAACAACTTGTCAAGAACCAAACATGATTTTGCTCTACACGAATGCCTAAAAACGAAGCAAGTTCTGTTCGATTACATGTCTGTATGCCAGCATGACAAAGATGAATTAAGGATTGCTTAAGTGCTTTAAATTGCGAGCCTCAAGGGTGGAGATATTGCTGACTGTGCAGAAGGTGAATACCGGACTTTGACAACCTATAATTTGTGTGTGTGTAAAAAACGCTTGGTGCATCTTAGACGTCGTACTGAGTGCAATTTAGTCTTTTACGTGCTGTCTTTGTCTCTGTAGATAACTATCATTGATCAATGGGATGTGGTGGTGATGCCTCGACAGTAAAATCAGGAGGTACCTGGATCGATACCCGTTGTGGAGGGCCCCGATTGAAGGACACCAGGCAAAGGCGAATAATTTAGACGAGCACCACCAATGAGTGGCTTCTCTGCCAACCCGCACCTCAGCTTGTGATGTTGGATGGTCTGGAAGTCCTTCAAGCTGAAAATTCCCATAGTAAAATGAAGGGTGCGGCCTCTTAGCGAGGGACAGATCCACTGTAACCGCAGGACACCTCCGGATGGCCTGAGGAAGCCGCACGACACAAATCTATGTGACTAACGTCAGGTGTATACCCTGCGCGTCGGACTAAGTGGGAGGTGGTTTGTCATCTAATGTGTCTGTAGACAACGCTAGGTGTACCGTACAGATCGTACAAAGAACGATTTGGCGTATTCCTTACTGCATATGTCGGTATATAATTGCTTGGTGTACCGTACACAGCGTACGAATTGCGACGTAGCATGTACCCTCTCCATACTTAGATTGACATTATAACTATCACTCGTTTTTAATTAAATGACCATGTGCGACTGTGAAGTGTGTTAGGTTCACGCACACACCAATAATTACACGTTATCGGTTCAATAGTGACCAATGGCGGACAGAGAGCTCACAAGCAAACGCTCTACACGTCGGGACAGTAAACATCTGCCATATCCAGCAATAAGTTAATGTTAACGTGAAATAGCTGTCATTCGAAGTACTAGGTAAATCAAAAGCGTAAAATTATAATTACCTTCCTTTTTCAGTGGAGATGAAGCTCCCTGAATCTAGGTTCTCATCGTCGTTGATCAATTTTATTCTGACGGCGGCACTTTGTGGTTGATGGGGGTACCAAGCAAAATGATCCTGTGTCCCCTTTTTATCACAATCACCAACAACATTAACTAGTACCTCCAACAAAAAGTGATCTATCTGCCCTTCCATTTTTAGTACACGAGACACAATTCATTCCCTGGCCCATAACTACCTGAACTGGAACGTAGTAATAAAGATCTGGATTATGAGCTGGAAACATATAAAATAGGGTAGTAAGCTATGGAGATCGTTGATATAACTGATTCATTTGAGATCAAAATCAAGTTCTTTTTATTTTTATATCGTATCGGGTGGGTAGCGGCTACGGAACGGGTTGTGTGTCGTGTGTTAAACATGATAGTGCATATAGATCGCTCGGTGTCACAGGTATCCGGTGATGTTATTGTTTCTCGAGGGAGACGAATTTGAGAAAAGGAAGACGGAGGCTAGCTCTGCTCTGTAACGCGGTATACAACAAAGTGCGGCCGACGACAATTTATTTACATATGATAAAGAAAAAAAGGGTTGGCGCTTCCTCTGCTCCCGAGAGAAATCAGTATCCATAATCTCATACTATTCGAATATATTGACCACTTCACACTTACTGTTTGCGAAAAGTGCGAGACTTTCGCCGCTTCAAAGTGTCAAGAATTTGGTTGTTAGCTCTATTCGGTCTTGGTCACTATTGAAGGAATGTCATGCGGGCATAAGTGCGTGTGTGGCTTTTGCCTCTCTAGATGCGATCGCAACTAGTGAACTACCCAAAAAGTGACGCATAAAATGCATATCCATCTACCTATGGGGAGGGGACATGCTACATCGCACTTGGTACGACGTTTAAGGTGCACCTAACGTTTTACACACCTACACTAAAAGACAGACAGAACGTTGGTTTGTTATGGTCGGTGTTGAACTTGCGCACAGTCTCTAAAAGCTTACCCTTCGGGCTCGAAATTATAGGGCGAGCTCCGGAGCTCGCTTCCCAATCTTTATCCTCCGATGACATGTTTTGGTCTACATCCTGGTCAGTATGTGCTGTAAGATTGTATGGCTACTGTAGAAAGGCTCTAGAATTGACGGCCACATGAGATTGTCACGCAGCGGTGGTCATGTTCATTAAAGACGAGACAGTCTATTTCGACTGACTACGAGTCAGAACGGGAGTGTAAAAAAGTATAAATCTAAGTGAATTTATCTGTGCCATAGTGCCAGTTTTGACGTACAGACTTCCGTGTCAATGTTTGCAAGCTTGAGACAGCTCTTGTGACGACAACTAGCATTATGTTTGCCTTGCTAACGGATTCGAGGTGCGTTGACGGTCTTGTTAGACCTCATCGACCGCGTACGAGTGGGTACACTCGGTGAATGAAAAAGATTTACGCAAAACTTCCATCTAGTGTGCTGCCACTTGCAGTTTCATTCACTCTTCTTTGCATGGCTTCAACATTGCAACCGTCCGGATCATCTCACTGCTCGCACGTATATCATACGCTTACAACCGCATTCCACTCGTTCGGGCATTTGACCGAGGTTAGTGACTACACGCGATGCAATCACTGCACCGTATTGTTGTCGTCGGTTCGCGCATTCTGCGCAATACATTCACAAACGAAGCAGTTCAATTGCCAGCTGTACTGCCGCGACGGAAGCTGAATGACTTCATCGACAACCGGGATGATGAACGCGGTGACGACGACTGCATACTAGCGGTTGATATGCTTTCCCGTGAGGCGCTCTTCACACAACGCTTGTACATGCACGTGTCCTGGTCCACACGGATACCCCACTGGAGGTACTCGGCGTTCGTGGCAGCCTCAAGGAACTGGTTCAGCTTTGCCACACGGTCCTGAATAATCTTTTCGGAAAAGTTGCCAAACAGCTGCTTGTTTGGCAGCTCCGGTATCTCCTTGCGTTTGTATCCATTCTCAGTCTGGAGAGTAGCAGCCAGGTTACGGAACGTGCTGTACCAGTGCCACACATACAATGTGCCACGCGTGTTGGTCTCGATTTGTAGCTTGTACTCGACAAACTGACGACCTTCACGGTAAGTGATTCGGCTGTCGACCACCTTGGCAGAAATAAGTGACACCTCTTGAGACCGCACTAGCTTTGTCTGGAGCTGCAATACCTGCTGCTTCAGCCGCTCGTTCTCACGCAGCAATTCGGCGTCAGCATATTCAGCCACATTGGACGAAAAAGTCGAGCGCAAGCGGTCGTTCTGTGCAACCAGCTCACAATCCAACTCCAGGGCAGCCTCAGCGGCCGATTTGGCGTCGCGAGCTGCAGATTCTGCCTCGGCAACCTTCGAAGCCGCTTCCGAAGCGTACGCGGTGACACAGGACCCGCCAATATGTCCTCTACACCCTCCTCATCCTCCTTATCGCTTTCATCACTCCAATCATCTTCCACTGGCTACTGTCACACACAACTTCCTTAGTGATGCTAAGCGGGAACCAACATGTCGAATAAATATCAAGCTTACCGGCTGGGGATCGCTGTGATCATGTTCTTCCATCTCCTTCTAAGATATGCGCTCTTCGATCTCCTTCTGGAGAATGCGCTCCGCCACCTCTTGCAGAGCGATATTGCGAAGACGTTCCCGATCAAGCTCGCGCTCCTTTCGAACACGATTGAGGAGCAATCCGAACAGGTAACGCTGCTTGCGGCCACGCTCGAGAGACTGCAGCTTAATCATTCCAGTGCGCAGAGTACGGTAACGTCTCGCCTGGAAGCTACCGCGCGTCCTGGACTGGATCTCAACTGCAGCATTACACTGACGCAAGAAGCGCTTGCGATACACGTAGCCATGCAATACTTTCTGAACGAGGATCGCATGGTCTTTCAGGATCACGTCACGGCGGTCCTCTAATCGCTGCAACAGACCCGAGCTAAAGTAGACCTTCGTCGAGCCAACAGCAAATTTGGTGTTTTGCATGCTAGTAGCAATGTCGGGCACCAATTCCTTCAGCAGACCAGCTACCATTTCCAAAGGTTCCGCGTCACGCAGTGCTGATGGGCAAATGATCTGGAAACGCTGCTGGAACTCGACAAGTGGCAAACGATTCGGAAAGGCAGCACGACTGATGCGAATGGCAGCGATCACGCCAGCGCAGCGCAGTTGCTCCACAATCATGAGGCGATCAAACTCAGCTGCACTCTTGTTCGCGTTCGGCTTGATGCAGCGCACATACCGCGATGAGGTCTTGTTAATGGTCAGCATCAGTTCTGACAGTTGCTTACGGAACGCACCAGCGATAGTGTTACCCACTAGAAAGCCCTTTTGGCGGCCTTCTTTTCCGTTCTTGCCGCGGCTGCTGCGCTTGCTCGCCTGTGTGGGCGTGAAGATACCTGAAATGACTTCGTTGTGGCTACCAGACAACAGCTGCACCATATCCGTAGGTAGTGTGTCCTTGTTCTTCTCTAAAAAGCCCGCACCGTTGTACGTCACATCTCCAGCATAATGGTGGATAATGAGCTCCAACGGATTGATCCGGTTCTACTCAATGCTCGGGTGGTCGCTGCAAGCATCTAGAACCTTACTCACAAGAGTACTGTCGGTAGCCTGAGGGCGGAGCATTTCCTCATTCAGCATGCTGACGATACCCATTCGACCCTCAATCAGGTCCAGGATCGGCTGATTGTCCTCAAATGTCACCAGCGTCAACGGAATGCCTTCATCCACATACTCTTGCTGCACATCCTTAAACACGTCACTGTTGAACTTCTGCTGCAGCTTCTCGTTGGCATAGTTGATGCACAACTGCTCGAACCCGTTCTGGTCTAAGCTTTCGAAACTAAAGATATCCAGCAGACCAATGTGCGTCTTGACGTTTTTCGTGGAGCAAATAGCCTTGTTGATACGGTGCACGAGCCAGTCGAAGAGCTGCGTATACATACCCTTTGCCAAAGCGTCACGGAGATCCGCCACGTGTTCGGCGTTCAGCGGAATCGTGTACGACTCGGAACCAGCTGTAATAGACCGTTCCAGCAACGTCGAGTGGAGCGCGGCGCTCTTGGTACACAGCAACGCACCGACATTGTCCACGATCTCTTCGCTGCTCACGTGACTCTTTCCGCTGTCACTTGTGTTTAGCGCAAACTCGACTTCGGCCAGGTTCAAAATCGCTGCCACAATCCCGAAGATTGCATTCTGCTCGTCCGTGGAAATGCCAATCGTATCAAGAGCACCCTGTGTCTCTTTCAAACACTGGACATCATCTATGCCAGTCAATTGAGCTTTCGCCCCTTCTGCCACGTACTTGTAGCTCGTGACGTCGCCATGTAGCCTGAGCTCTTTTTTCCGCTCGTCAGACAAGCAAAAGATCTGGTAAAACACGTGGTGATCACGTCCGCCTTCTGTCTGACCCACGACACGACTCCTTTCCAGCAAATACGTCTCATCTAGACATCCGACAAGAGACTTATCGTGTCGAATTGCAGCTGCGCAAACTCGCCAAAGCGACTCGAGTTGTCATTCCGCTTGGCCTTGGCATTCCCAAACGACTCGAGCAGTGGATTTCGACTACAAATGCCAAGTATGCAAGAATGGCAGCTGACAATGACGAGCATTTAACAAACTTCTTACGTACTTGGTTGTTGTATGCTTGGGTAATCTTTGTTTCCAAATTCTATTATTTGTTAACATTTCTTCAATTTCATCTAAACGTGTCGCTGCCACGTATGCGACGCGCAAAGAACCCTGATCGAACTCGACTCGATGCGTGATCTGCAGATGCTAGGCTTACTCTGGCAATGAAGTCGTAAGCCACCAAATAAAAAAACAAGGATATTATCAGACGAAAAGAAGAGTTAGCTAGCTACCCAACCTGGGTGTCGTGTCACCATGCTAAGAACATCTGTAGATGCTCGGTTAAGCTGCAAACAAATTCTGATGAAGAAACGTGGCTGACCCTGGTCTACCTTCGAAGCTAGTGAGCCACACACGATGGTTCCCTATCCAGACTAAAGCATAGTCACCCCAGTTTAAATATAGGTACTGCACAGACATCAGCCAATCAGCACACTTCCTGACAGCTTCATGATCATGGTAGTCGCTGTTGGCCGCGGCGCTTAAAGCACCTGCAAGTCGGCGCACGCTGTTTCCAAAATGATCAAACAGAGCTTTGTACACATTGTCGGGGGAGCTGGCAGGACAAACTGCGTTCAAGAGTTCTAGGACTGCAGGATGAAAGAAGTCATGGTCTGGAAACCTAATAAAGACTTCGGAAATCCATCTGATCATCATTTTCAGATCGTAGTCATCCGCTTTCCAACGCCCAATCATTGCGCTTTGCACTTTCCCAACGGCTGTTCCTGCGATAGATGGACGATTACGAGATCCATGTAAAAGCGCATAAACCATCGCCTTATCACCATAGGTGCCCGCTAGGGCATTGGCCAACGCTGCGTCGGGTGTTTCTCCGTCGCCTCTGTACATGTACAACTCAGCCAAGACATCCACTTCCTCTACTGTCAACCTATTGACAAGCCGTTCGGCACGATATTGGCGTAACACCCCAACCCCTGCTCCTTTTTCAATTTCTTCATACAACGATTTGAATTCATGCTGCAGTAGCTTGAATTTCACATATCGCGTCAGGCGTTCGGTCCCCGCCTTGACCACTGAAACCAATTGCTCCATCGATGCATGTTGCGCGAAGAGTCCGGCCCACGCCTTAACTTTCGTCGCCATCGATTCGACTACCGTCACCAACCACTCACCCATGGACGACCTGGCTTCGTGATCCGTAGCTTCAGCTGCCACCAGCAACCGTTCGAGATGGACGCCGTCTTGATGCTTAGCGGCGTCGTGAACGCTGCCCAGGGGAATGGCCGAGTCGGCCGGTTCCGACGCAGTAATGGTCGCACCAGCAAGAGCGGCACAAAGGGCGAGGGCGAAGTAGTAGACCCGCATGAGACTGTCAATTTCAGTAGTGGTGATGGTGGTGGTGGTCGTGGTGGTTGTGGCTTGGTGTGGATGATGTTCCAGGTGTCGAGCGAAACTGCGACTGACCCGTTGGGAGCGAGTGGACCACACCGCATTTGTCGAACTATTGTGTGGCCAGCAAGTGATCGCTGTCGGCTTGGTGCACTCATTGGACATTTGTGTTCTGATTTGCACTTCGTTGCGTGTTATCAGAGCGACTGCAACGTCATTGTAGCGGGGTAGTCCCCTTCATAACATGGATACCAAACGGTGTTAGTAGGGAGACTGTCAAGCGTGACAATTCCCCGCCAATATTACCCGAGTTGGGTAATATTGGAGGAACAGTATCCCCTTTTTGAATGATTTTCATGCGCTGTCCTGAAGATTAGTTGATAAAAGACATGTCAAACAGGATTAGCACCAATCGCTGCTAGACGCGCGTAATGGGTGGTGAGCAGGTTGTCGTCCTACGACAATGTAGATCAATATACTCAGATAAAGACTGAAGTTGTACTGATAGCTTAACTATATTATATCAAATACAGTTCTCTTTTCCTTTACTCAAACTGAGCATTTTAAGTAGATTAGCTTCCTCTGCACGTGCGAGTGAACGTGAAGTTTCGTGGCACCCCGAACAGAGGGTGCCCCGTTACACCTGGTGGCACTTCGTAGTCCGTCCAAAGACTACTTAGTGTTCGTCTAACATGAACAAGTTGGACGTAGAAGACGACAGCTTTCACGTCACACGTGAAGGCTACTCCCATCTGAGTGACTCTGAATGGGAGATAGTCGGCCGCATGAGTGTGGTCATGGGCGAATTAGCCGTCAGTGGCATGTTGGAGTCTTTGAACAGAGACCAGCAACATGCCACTATCAACGAGTTCATACAAGGGAAACTTGCCGTCGAAAGACAGAAGATAGCCTTGCTACAACAGCAAGGCTCCCATTAGTCGATGAGCGGGCCGACGCACACGCGTCGACCCGAAACCTTTAAAATGATACACTCAGGGTACAAGGGAACCGATGAAGATTCCTTTTTGAGATGGTTCGTCGAGTTAAACGATGCCATCAGGACCCGTCACATCGAGAGTGATGAGATGCAAGTCAACTTCGCCTGTCAAATTTGACAGGACGAGCAAAGACTTGGGCCTTAGGGCTCAAGCTTCACGACCTAAGCGTGTTTGAGTCGTTGAATATCTTGAAGTCTCGGCTCAAAGAGACGTTTGAGCCGCCGAGATCCGATTTCAGAGCACGCTCTACACTCCTGAGGCTCAAGCAAAGTAAGCTTTTTGTGCATGCTTACGCACAACATCTACGCTACCTTGCGAGTATCGATACGGAAAAGCTTGTTGATGAGCACACGCTCATCAACGTGTTCATTTACGGCCTTGTGGATGGGCCGGTGAAGACCTACATGTTCCGAGAGGACTTCCATGCGCTGGAAAAGGCGATAGCGTATGAGGAACAAGAAGATTTTAGCCTAAGACAGTCTCAGGATAACTCGTCAAGCTATCGTCCGGCGAGACGACAGGAAACAGGAAGTTCCGAACCAATGGACCTCTGTTACATCGAGAGCGAGAACTCTCGCTCTATGAGTCACAAGCGAACGGCAAGATGCCATCGCTGTCAAAAGATTGGACACTACGCTCATGAGTGTAGAGTCCCGAGCACTGCAACACGTCTAAATACAGGACGCGATAACCACCGTTGGCCAAGGAAAGGTCCGAGGCGCGGGTCCGACCATGTCGCTAAGCCGCAACGGCAAGTCGGACCGTCAAAAAATGGTCAGGGTCGGTAGGGGTGGAGCACCCTGCTGATCCAGCAACGTCAAAAGAATTTGCAGGACTCTTGACGAAGATTGCTCCCAACACACAGTCTCTGTGTGTTACTGCCCCTAGTGATAAGGAGTCTCTCATCACTATGAAGATCGAAGTGACAGGTGGAATGTCACTTCGCGCCCTAGTTGACTGTGGGGCGTCGAACAGTTTTATTCGACGCCATTCGCTAGGGGATAGTACGCTCAACTATATTGAGCGAGTGTTCCCTCCAACGAGGATGACGGTGTGCCTTGCTACAGGCGCATCCGTAACAGTGAACAAACGTGTAGTGGGAAGCCACTACACGCTAGAAGGAAAGCATTACGATGATGACTTTAACGTATTAGATTTAGATGACGAATTCGATGTTATCCTTGGTCTGCCATGGCTTTGAAAGTACCAGCCATGGGTTAGCTGGCAGCATCGATCCGTGAAGATGCCTACCTTTTGTCTATCGGATGGCCATCTGATGAACGTCTTAAGGCTTCCACAAGCGTTTGGATGTACTACGAGTGAGTGCGATGGCCTCACTTGTGAACGGTCGTCAGTAAGGTTGCACAAGATCACAGTGTAAAAGGCCACTACACTGTGGAACCAGCTTCCGGCACCTGTGTAGAGACATAGGCTGCGCCGAAGGTTCACCACTCGAAAAAATCGAGTGGACAGAAACATGGATGCACAACAAGCAGAGTGCATTCAAAGAGAAAATTTAGCTGTATTTGAGATGAGCAAAACTTACCTGCGAGATCGGCTAACAGAGAGTCGATCGGCAAAGCAAACACGATCGACTAAAAAAGAGTCGATCGAAGAGTAACTGACCGTGGTAGTGCACCCACAGTCAGAACACGTATTGGAGGAAATTTCCAGTCTTCCTGATAGTATTAACTCCGAGAGAGTTATGTTAAGGGTGTTTACCCAACCACCTGTGAATGTGTTTATTTCAAGAAAACACCGAGACGTTATGTGTCTTTGTGCATGACGGATCACGTGTGGGCGCTTATCCACTTTATCTGGTTACACTTTTAAAGTCCGCTCGTGAGGTTATCAAGTTGCTAACGCTAAAATCTTAAATACTCTTGCGAGATCTGCGTTGTGACAAGATCAAGCAGGTCTGCGTACTCGTCACAGAGGACGATTACGTGACCAACATTCGGTCGGCACAAGTGTTTAATGCGAACGAACGGGTTCTCACAAGCTCATCGATAGACGGAAGTGTCCTCAATGAGAAGACCCAGATTGAACGATACGCTCATCAATCTTGGGAGTCGGTGCCGGCAAGTACTTTGCATAAGGATTTGGTTGAATTGAGGGATGTTTTCCCTGAATCCGTACCATGCGAGTTGCCGAAGGACAAAGGCACTCGACATGAAATTGAACCGAAACCCGGATCGAAGTACTTTGCCATGAAGCATTGGCCACTGCCTCGTGAAAAAGTACTAGCGATCGACCTATTCTTGACGATCGCTTAGCTGCTGGTCATGTGAGGGAACCAACATTCCCTCGCAGCTCTCCGACCTTCTGTTGGAGAAAAGCCACAGGATGGTGGTGGATGGTGCACGCGTTCAACAAATTGAACGCTGCAACGGTACCGGCTCAGACACCGATACCGAGGAAGGACGTAATCATAGAGGGCATGGAAAAAGTATCATCTTCTCATCCATGGATCTGATGGACGTTTTCTATCAGATTCTCATGCGTGAACGGGACATCACGTACACAGCATTGAGCACCCCGAGTGGTATGCTCTGGGAGTGGCTAGTGATGCCACAAGATCAGATTAACGCCCCCGCAACGTTCAACATATGTGTTACAAATCTGTTGCGATCAGTGCGCGATTTCGCACCGAGTTACTTTGACGATTTCTTCGTCCGTAGCCGGGCTATGGATGGAAAGCCGGACGTGTAGGTTCACAGAATCCACGTTTGGAAGGTTCTTACACCTATGCGTGAGCACAAGTTGTTCGCGAACCTCAAGAAGTGTATTTTCGCAACGAATGAAATACCACTTCTTGGCTGCATCGTGGGTAAAAACGGCGTACGCCCTGATCCAGAAAAGATCAAGGCGATCACCGACTGGCCTGTGCCAGCGAAGTCAAGGGAATTCGAAAGTTCCTTGGCTTAGCGGCAAAATTACATAATTACTCGTGCAACTACGCCGAGATGACCGTACATCTCTCTCGTCTGTTAACGAAAAAAGAGAGGCGGCTACGGAGAGCTGAGTGTCAGCGTTCCCTTGAAAGTATCAAGAAAATCTTGATACAGTCGCCTGTGTTGGGTATTGCAGACGAAGACAGACCATTCCACTTGGTCTGTGACGCCAGCGATTTTGCAATCGGCTGCGCGTTAGTGCAGTACGACTCAGACGGCGTTGAGCCTTACTAAAGTTGTATGAAAAGGATCTACCTGCCATAAAATACGCACTGGCTAAGTTTCGGGTCTATTCTTAGGAGATAGGCCCTTCATCGTTTATACCAACCATGCGTCATTACACACGACAGTAAACAGTCTACACCTCTCGCAAAGAATGGCGAGGTGGCTGTCTGTCTTCGCGGAGCATAACTTCTCCGTCGAGCATAATCACGAACGACTTAATGTCGTCTCTAATGCCCCTTCGCGTCGGCCCAATTTCGAGCCGACTGCTCCACCTAATAGTAGGGTTGATCCCACTGTTGCATCAAATCTACTCGACGACGCGCGGAAAGCCTACGCAGAAAATGAGTCTCTTCTGCGATTGATGGATTACTTATCTAATACATGCAGTCAAGCTTTGATAATCTTGACGTCTCAATACCGCTCTTCAACCGAACGGTCTTTCGGTTCGTGATGGTATGTTGTTCGACACAGCAGTCAATGGCGACACACGTCGTGTCATCATTCCCGCTCATAATGATTTGCGATTGCGCATCATGTATGAGTGTCACGATGCCCCAACAAGTGGGCATCGTGGAGGAGGAGAAAAGACTTACCTTACGGTAAGTCGTGACTTCTACTGGCCACGCCAGTATGAGTTTCTGCGCAAATACATCCGTGCTTGCGAAGTTTGCCAATGGGTGAAGCAGGGTCTTTCATCCCGTGCACCCTTGCAGCCTCTACCGATTCCGGTAGAGTACTAGCAGTCCGTATCGATGTACTTCTTCGTTGGGAAATCTAGAGACGCTCACAAGAATACTGG